CAACATATCCTGTCTCTGAAGCCACTGACGTAAAATCTGCTGCTGCAGAGCATCATCCTGTTTTGAATCCAGTCGAGGCTTTTTTCGTGCTTGAGTTAAATTGTTCGGATCCTGAAAGAAAGATTCCGAAGCGCGACGACCCATAGAAAGCGGGATTTGATTAGTTTGCGACGTGGGCAGTGAAGTAGCACTAGAGCCTCCTCGCTGAACACTTGGATCATGATGAGAGTTCCGTTGCACTACTGTCGACCCATCAGCAACTGATGACCCAGAAATGCTGATATTGTTAGAAGAGAATGACATCGGGGATGCAGGTAAGCGCATATACGACTCATTATTGATACTAGCACTACGCTGCAAATTAGGACCACCTCCAGAAAGCCCTGAATTAGCATCCGTAACCATCGAACTGGCTCCTGCGCTTGGACCCGGCGTTGACACACTCATCATAGCCGGATTGTGCATATCCGCAGAAACCATACTGAGATTGTGATAACCAGGTCCACATCCAGGAACAGAGTTAGATGAATTCCCATAAGAGGAGGTCAAGTGAGAGTTCATGAAACCTTGAGATTCATCGTCTCCTTGGAAGAAAATCCCAGAGGTTGAAGAAGATGGTGTTAATCCACCAGCCATCAAAGGTAGGTCCCAAGCCAGTTTCTTCCTCAATGCGACACAAATGTCCCACCTTTACTTCAGATATCTACAACATAATAATACATTATAACGAATGAAATCAGATCAAGAACATTGATTTCTGTAACAAAAACTCGAATCTAGTGCTCCAATAAGATAATCAAACTCTGAAATTAACAAAAATCCCAAATCCAAACATCATACACATAACCACTGATGAACTAAGGCTTATTAAACCCAGCGAAATAGCTAAAAAGAGTCAATTTTTCCCCTCCGAATTTCTCGCATTACGAATGAATCACAACCCCCAACAGAAAATCAAAACCCTAATTTTAAAGCTCGTATAGTTAACCCAGGAACTAACCCTTCTCCTCAAACAAAAGAAATTACACAAACCCGTCAAAAATCCCAGAATCAGAAACTAAGAGCTATAGAGAGAAGAAGATCACAGAAATTAACCAACGAATTTTATAGAACAAAAAAAAGAAAAATCGGAAGAACACAGATACAATACACATACCAAGAACTGTTTAGTGGAGGTTCGATCAGCATAACGACGACTCAGATATATCAAATTAAAACCCGAACTAATTGAAAC